GGGTGGACGCAGTAGATACTCACAAACTAGCAAAGCAAGAAAGGCCACCGTACTGTGTCACAGCATGCCTTCAAAATAGAGGCCAACGTGATGCTGGACTGAGCAGTCGGTTTAATTAAAGACGAGGGCAAATAACAAGAAAACACTGTTAAACCATCAGAACACCTGCATAAGAGTGCCCTAAATCGTCACAACTTCTCTGAATCCTGCGGGCAGCAGCGCTTCTCCCCAGCTCTCACCATCCCATTGCTCTCCTGATGGCATCCTTTCTGGCACACACAAATGTTTTGCTGATTATTCCAGCTTTACCATTTCCAAAATATAGGCTTCATTGTAAGGAATGAGTCCAGAAAAGTGTCTTTGTTGGAACCTTGCTTAAGTAAGGACTGCAGATGGCTTTTAAGTAACTATAAAATGAGAAAGGTAAATGATAAAGGCCAACTTGTGAAAGGAAAAGCATTCACAAAAAAACATCTAAAAGAGGTAGTGGTGGAGCTTTTTTCTGCTGCGAATTTGTTACTATAGATCTGACTTGGTGTTTCACAAAATGCTAGCGTGGTTGAGGTTGGAAGGGACCTCTGGAGGTCATCTTGTCCAACCCCCCCTGCTCAAGAAGGATCATCTGGAGCCAGTTGCCCAGGACCATCCCAAGGATGGAGACTCCACCATGTCTCTGGGCAAGCTGTGCCAGTGCTCGGTCACCCTCACAGGGAAAAGTATTCTAAGCACAGAAATAAGAAACCTGACGTATCTTGAAGTGACTGTTACAATGATCTCCCAACACAGAAATGAGGCTGAAAGAGCTGAAATGATCATTGACTGCGTGAGAAGGAGCACAGTCACTAGAAGTGGGAAAGCAGTATTGCCCTGAGATTTTGCCTGAATGCTCTCCCCAAGCCTGGACCCGATATTGCAGTGAAGTATGCAGAAGTGCTCCTGAACCAGGGAAAAACACGGGGTGGGAGGCTTAATGATGCCTGTTACATACTGTGTCTGGCAATTGGGTAAACTGATCATTCACCAAAAACTTATTTTATAATCCTTCCTCTCTGTCTTTTCACTGTGAAAGAAAATGGATTAGGAAAAGGTCTCCAAAGATTTTGAGCAATGGGAGAAGACTTTGCAGAAGTCCACAGGTGCTCTGAGAGTTTTGGGAAGCTCTTCATGGCAAAAGGTTTGGGTGCTGCAGGACACCTGCTGAAGTTGGTTCCCTGGAGGGATCCTGCTGGCACCAGCCTCAAATAGCATGGTGGTACCTTGCTAGGCAGGATGGAGAAGAGGAGCTGTCTTGGCTGCTGAAAGGGCCGGTGCTTTCTGGCACATCTCGGGGTGAGAAGGGGGCTGCACAGCTGCCTGAGGTTGTGCGGCAAAGAGCACTGACTTACTCCGAGATCCACTCTTAAAACATTCATAGTACCTGATCGAAAGTTTTACAGGGGAGGAGGAAGTGCACTGTGTGTTTTGTTCTGAAACACCTTGCCAGAAAGGTGACTGAGCTGCCTGATAACTTTTAGGAAATATTAAATGAGTTCATGTGTAATTGTGCTTTTGTGCAGTTGCATTTTTAGGGCACAGATGTTTTGCTTCCACCCATACTGTCAAGCAGTAAAAATTTGGATGATCAAAAGGTTATATTAAATAAAAACAAACAAACAACCCAAACTTTACATCTTTTTAGCCTGTGTGATTTCCCCCTCCCTGTGCATTGGTTTCTGAGCCTTTAAGGTGTAATTGGGTCATACTTTCTGGTTCTCTCAGTATGGTCCTCAAATTGCAAAAATCGTATTGACTTAAAAGGGAATTGGTATTTCCTCCGTAAGCTGCTTTGGAGCAGTGGAGTTTGAGGGTCTCAAGTGATCCACTGGTTCCAGAGGTGGGGGCTAAATGAAGTACTGAACGCCATGCAGCACTCCTTGTAAGCATACATTTGCACGTCGCTTTTCTTGCCCAGGGTTGTTAGCGCATCGGTGGGTGTGCTGTGTGGCCAGAGTCAACCCACCAATACAGGATAGGTGTTGTTGGTTGCTTGGTTTGGGTTTTTTTGCAGAAGTTCCCTAAATAGTTAGAGTACTCGAGTTAGTGGTAAGGTCTTCAGAAGTGTACTCAGTGTCTCTTCAAAAAGGCTACACAAATCCCATTTTTACCACTTAAAATTAAACTGAGATGTGTTTAGGATTTGAAGATATAGATTAGCTAACCAGTGTGGTAATAGCGAATAAGTTCTTCATTTTACATGGGTTTGTAATAATAATTGTAAACCATGCTTTGACTTGAGTAAGATCTTAATTTGTACTGGTACTGAAAGTAAGCTTCATAAATTCGCTCCCTTACATGCACAAACACAATTTAGTATATTATGCAGACTCTACTACTGATGGTTACAGGGCTAAAAAAGCTCAGAAGAAAATAAATGTGATTGTTATTAATTTAGCACTCACACGAGATGAATTCACTGTATCTGCTGCATTACTGAAATTATAGACTCTTTTAGTATATTGACAGTATACTGCATCTTGCTCAAAATTATGTCTTATTTTCTTCTATTTTCAAACAATTGATTGACCTGCAAATTCATAAACTAACGCGATAGATTTCCCCAGAATAACCGCAATGTCTCTGCTTCCTTTTAGCAAATGCGTTATACAGTTACAGGGGCCCTTAAAGCTGTGAGTGTGGAACTTGCACTGACTTTGTCAGAGGACCAGAGCCAAGTCTTTGCAGAATCAAAACTCTTCTCTACTCACGTGATTAGAGCGTTTGGTTCCACTTAGTAGTTTTAAACATTGTTTGCCATCTGTATCCTGCTAATAATATGTTTTTGCAATAGATGTTAAAAAGGAATATGCAGTAAACAGGATTGAAGAAAAAAACCCACAAAAACGTGTAAATATCATTGGACTCTGGTATCTTCTTTAAAATAGTTTACATTTCTTTCAACTAAATGTCCTTTTCTGATTTTTAACGTTCGAGGGAGGCCTGCAGGCTGGCGTACCTGAAGATATTTCTTGCTGTGGTATCCTGTTTCTCACTTGACAGTCTTCCCTCAGGCTTTGCATCCTTATTAACCGAGCTGGTCGTGCCTTTTGCAACCTCGCTGGTAACGGTGACCCAGCGTCGCGGTGAGAGCGGGGAGGGAAGGACCTTCTCACGGTGCTGGTCCTACCGTGGTGCTCCACCATGCTCTGCGCATCCGCAGTCTCTCTCTGCCCGAGCAAACTTCTTGTCACAGCTGGAGATCAATGGCCTGCTGGGCTTGTAGATTAATGTTATTAACAGGCGCGTACCGGATCATTCGTTTAGGCTCGTGGCTTGATCTTGTGCTTCTCCTATTGCCTTCTGACAAGTGGAAACATTTTATAAATAGTAAATGAAGTGAAAATGGGATTAAAAAATGAAAATAATGCTATGAAGTATGAAAACCATGTTGTTGTTTAAATAAGTTAGGAATTGGAGGAGACATTTTCGCAAATTGCTTTTTAAATCTTTTCTTTCCTCTCTAATTTTTGATTACTTTTTTTGTTTTATTCTGCATTTTAAAATCCCAGTTAGTTATTATGCTTGGTGTATAGTTTATTATGATGCTCAGCAGATAGTTTACAACTCTAAATTTTACACTGATAGTACAATTTCAGAAATGTTGTTTGTGCTTTAGGGTGTAAAACCAGAAAAATAACATTCCTCAGTTGGTCCTGTTGAAGCCAAATATTTGAGGGAATGAATCTTTGTTTCTGGCTGTGCAGGCACAGTGCTCGTTAACGGGAGCCAAGGCAGAACAACCCACCTAGCAATCCGTTAACGGGGCTTTGTAGCCTTTCTGTTGGTGAGGAAACATCACAAATGACCCATTAGGTTAGAAAACTAGCCAGGCTCCTCTGGGCTTCCCTGAAAGAAGGCTGGTAGGGCAGCCGGAGAGCCTGCTGACTTTCACGTGTTGGGCCCTGTATCTGTTATGTAGGTCTCCAGACATGAGCATCTCCTACCAGTGCTGCTGTCAGCAGCTCCTTCGGCACAGAGTGTAGGGTTTGTGTGTCCTGGTAGCATCCTCGCGGCATGACACGGGGTATTACTGCTTTTAAAAAACAGTGCGTGTGTTAGTTGGGTGATCGTATCAATCCCAGCTCGGTTCTGGAGGCCGTCGGTCACCCTCTTGACATCGGTGGGGCTTAAAACATCACAGGTTTGGGGCTGGGAGTGGGGCAGGCTGGAGTGGTGTTTATTGGCTGCTACGAGGCGTTGGCAGGGACCAGCTTGGCGACACGAGATGCTGCTTAAAATTTGGTTTTTGCGCAGGGTGAGATGATGTGAGATGCTGCTTTCTGTGCAAGGCAAGAACGTGGAACGGCATCCTATCGGCTTATGAACCTGAAAATGTTGAGCTTTTAACCAGAGGGGTTTGACTTAAAAAAAAAAAAAAAACAAAAACGTCTGGATGGGTTTCAATCGGTGAACTAATTGATACTGTATGGTTGTTCTGGAGTATTTTCCCCACTTAATGGTGATGAGATGATATTTTGTTTAAGCAAAACACCATCAATCCCTCCCGTTCCCAGTTTTGTTTATTAGGACTGAGGAAACTCGGTTTTGTTTTTAAGATTTCTATCAGCTTTTCCTTACTCTTAAAGGTGGATAGGCTTCTCTCTAAGCAGCAGCGTTGCCGGAGGTGACAGCTACTGAAGGAAGCAAATTAACATACAGTATGTTAATTTGTTGTCCCTGTCCTTCAGTCACAGTGAGGAGAGTCTAAATATTTCAGTGACCGAGACTTTGGATTCCTGCTCCTTGCTACACAACAACAACAACAACAAAAGCTATTTATAGCAATAACAGTTAGCAGCGATACAGCAGCCGCAGACAGCTATAGGCAGCGTCTCACCATGACCACAACTGTTAACTGCTTTTGCACTGAATGCCTCTGTGAAAACAAAGAGCACTGAGAAATAAAGATCAAAGCAGAACCAAAAGAAAGATTTTTTTATTGCTATGTTTTACTTTGCTGGCAGACCAGAGCAAAGGTTTTCTGAACATTTAAAAGATGAAAAAGGTGAAGAATCCCAGAAGCGATTTATCTTGAAGCGAGATAACTCTAGTATTGATAAAGAAGACAATCAGGTTGGTTCTCGGTTCGAGAGTTGCTGAAATTTGTTCTGTTTTTGAAGGTGGGCTGACTGATGTTATTGTTGTTCTTTTGTTGTTGCTCTCCTCCTCCTCCCCTGCCCTCCTGCCCCCCTCCCCGCCTCCTTTGGCGTACGTACCACCGTGGGTAGCATCCAGCCCCGACGTGGCCGCTTCAGCCGTGGCAGTGTGTGGGTTTGCATGGGTGATTTGCTTGGCGCAGGACTTGCTGCATGCCCACGGGAGGGGGAATGCCGGCGGCTCCGGGCTGCGTGGAAGGCTGTGTCAGTCGCATTTCTCAATGTCCCGCGTAACTATGGCAGTTGTTCCGCTCCCTACAGCTTCCTCCTTCTGTTGTACCCATTCAGAGTTGGATTTCAGTATGGACTGATGAAAAAGTGATGTAGCCCAAAAAGGAGAGAGGAAAAAAAAACTAAAGTGCCCAAAATAAACATGTGATGGTCAGGCCAGGTTGAATTTTTTTTTTTTAAAAAAAATCATAAATTAAGTTTTGACCAAAAAAAAGTCAGTTTCATCTCTTAGTTCCCTCCCTCCTCCTGTGCCTTCACCACCTTTTACTGTCTGTGTGACTGACTTGCTTGTTGTGCATGTCCTGTGGCAGACCTTGCCCTCTGTGTTGCCTGTGCCGTAACACCACCTTACCTTAGGTGAGCCCGGCGAGTAGGGGAGCGCCAGGGACATACGTGTGTTTGTGCTGCCTTTAAAAGCGGGTGTTGTGCTGTTTTAATCCAGTGCAAGCTGTGTATGTGGAATATATTAACCAAAAAAAAAAAAAAAATAAATCTCAATAAAGGGTTCCGACGTGAATTGCTTTTTATGAGAAAATTGTCACAGGTAAGAAGACAGCGTATGCTTTCTTTGCTTAGGTTATATTTGTGGAGGGACCTGCCAGTGAGTCTCTCATTGCCCCTCTCCTTCATGTTTTCAGTAAAGGACTGATTTTTTTTTTTTTTTCCTTTCTTTTTTTCTTCTTCCCCCACCTCTTTTTCCCCTTGACTTTCAGTTGTACATAGCAGCCTTGCCAGTTATGCTGCATCCAAGTTGTCTTCGAAAACAAACCCCAAGCACTTTCAGGGAGTGGTGAACATGGGGGTCAGCCAAAGGAGAGCAGCGTGACCTATCTCACCAGGTGCTGGGGTGCAGGGGGAGAAGGAGCAGTACTCGAAACCCAATTACCAATGAAACATTTCTTGCTGGGGACCCTCTCCTCTCCTCCCTCCCACGGCACAGCCATTTCCCGCACTGCGGTTTACCGAGAGGCACAAATGGCCCTTCTTTTCCCAGCGAAACTGAAGTCGAGGGTTCCTTATGGTGTGGAAATGGTTAAAACTGTCGTGCCGAATACCTGGGACTTCTCCTTGTTGCACACATAGACTTTGGTGGGTTTCTTCTAGGGTTTGCCGTTTAGCTCTTGCAGCCTAGTTTCCCTCTTTTCTTCCTCAATTTTGCAGGTGGCACAGCGCTGCCTGCCCTCCTGCTCCTTGCAGCCGGTAGGAGAGTCAAGGAATCTTAGCAGTTGAGAGCGAGGGCACTTAGGCTTGGGGTGAGAACACCCAGTTTTAGGGCGGCGGGTCCACAAAAGCTGTGCAGAAAGCCTCGTTTCAGCCACCCACGTTACAAACCCACCTGCAGTCTCTGTCTCACTGGAAGCCCTCGGGTGCCCAGCCTCGCAGGGCGCTTCGTGCAGGAACGACAGCTATCGTTTTCATGCTTCATTTGTTTAAGTGAACATTTATTATTCTCAGCTGACAGTTACTTAATGGCAGTTTTTAACAGCTCAACTTATATAACCCTCCTGGTTTTCTTTCTGCTCAGCAAAACAGAATTCTTCCATTTAGAGATGACAGACGAAGTAAATCAATTGAAGAGAGAGAAGAGGAGTATCAGAGAGTGAGGGAGAGAATATTTGCACAAGATGTGAGTAGTTGTTTTAATTGCCTCTTTAGTGCCATACCTTCGCCGGTAGTCAGACAGTCTTGCCCCCCTCCGACACGAACACCGCAGCCAGACTTGCCCTGTGGAGCTGGAGGCGACAGGGAAGGGCGATCGGCGCAGAGGGTCCGAGAGGAGCTTGAGAGGTGTGGAGGTTGGCTGCTGGAGAAGGAGGTGATGAGAGTTGCAGGGAGAAGGGTAGAGGAGCGGTCAGGCCCGGCGTGTTGTCTGGGGAGTGCTTATCCTGTCTCTTCGAATGTTCATGTTTGTGTGGTCTAGGTTTCCTTCTTTTTTCTTTCTCTTCTGCCAGCCAAAGAGCAGTGATTTAAATGGACGCTGTCAATAATTTCAAACAGCTGTGTTCTTTCGTATTTGTTCTGAGATGGATCAAATTTTCTGAGTGTCCTTCTGCAGAGCCTCCTCACGGTTTTGTTTCCTTGAACCAGTGCCGTAGCACTAGGACACTAAGAACAAAGAAAAGCCAGAGGTTAAACGTGGAGTTGCATGGGTTTTTTGAAATGACCGATTAAGGAACTGTATTTCTGCCATCAGAAAGAGTCGGTCACGTTGTTGATGGTTTTATTCTAAAAGAAATAAAATGAAATAGACATTATAATTCCTGCCTTTACCAAAAAATCAGAACTTGCATGACAAGCTACATTGCTGGAGGAAAACATTTAAATATGAAACATCTGTGAGCAATACCTCGTGTTCCTGAAAAAGGAAGAAAATCATAATTTACTATAATACTGTAATGATGGGGTCCTAAAGGGGGGGGGGGAGAAAAAAGAAAAAACCTCAACATTTTATTGTTTTAACTCATATCTCAGTGGGACCTCTGCCGCTTAGAGGAATATGGGAATAAACCCAATTAAAACTATTACTGAAAATCATATTTGGCAGTGTCCTTTTAAATTAAAGCTGTTCATATGTTGCAGGGCTAATAGTATTATTTTAGATATCCTTTTATTTTGCTCTGGTTTTGGAGTTGCACACATCCAAGTTATTTTTCGTTAGCAGAATACATTGTGTAGTTTTAAGGCGTGTGTTGTCTCACTTGTGATAAGTAAGTTTGCTTTTTAGTAAGTAGCTTGCCACATCTAAATGTTTTTAGCCTCGCTTTTTCTTTCTTGACTGAGACAATTCCAATAAAAGCAGAGGCCCTTCGGTTTACGTTTTGCTTCCAGCACGTGGATCTGATGTAAATACAGTCACAGTATGTAAGGTGGAGTTACCCAGTTGTTCAAGGGCTGCAAAAGCCTCTTTACAACGTGTTTCCTATATGAAAGTTGCTGTTTCTGGTTTATTACAAGGGAGCTTGTGCAAAACCAAAAAATCTTTGAGTTTTGAAGCAGACTTCAAATGAGGCAAAATGTTGTTTAAAAATACCAGATGGAAAGTTGTTGCCAATATAATGCAGTTTCTATCATAAGCAGCAGCTAGAGATGCCAGGCTGGGAAACGGAGGTGGCTGGAAAAGTGTGCTGAAACTCGCTCCACAATGCGCTGCTGTTTTTATCTTTAGATACTTGAGTTTTAAAGACAGGCAAGCAGCGAGCGTTTTAATTGCCCGCGGCAGGAGGTTGTGGTGGTCCGTTGGGTTAGCATCTCCGCATGGCAAGGCCAAAGTACCAGCGTGGTTTGTGGCAGGCATTTTAAATGGATTGGGAGTGAGCATTTGTAAAGATCAGCAATGTTAGATATCTCTCCCTCTCTCTCTCATATCCACTCATTTGCTCTCTCTCTCTGCTATTGCAGGTGTCAGTGAGCATCGTAGTGCAGTGAATTTCAGCGAGCTGTATGAATGGTATTATCAGGAGTATGTTTTTAACTGAGCTTTTTTGAGTGGAGCACTCCTCACAGATATGAGGTGTTTTTAGGATGATGTCAGTGGTTGTGGTGGTGGACAATGTAATTTATTTTTTTTTTCATTTTTAGGAAAGAGAGCAATGGCTTCCTATTATAGGTGGCCACTTACTGCATGTAAGACTTTATAGTTTTAAAGCCCTCTGCAATCATTAATTAATCCAGTTCTCCCCAGGTTTCTCTGAGGTAGGTACCTAAGCCCTGTCATCCTGCAAATTATAGATGTAGAAAGAGAGACAGGGAGGGATTAATCATGTGGTATTTTTATTATCTCTATACTGTTTACACTGCTGTAGTCAAGCCTTTATCAGTGCCTTGCTTATGAGCCTTAGCAAATGGATTATAGATACTTCACTTCTAATTAGAGTATGCATGAAGAGAGCTTGCATGAGAGGTCTCCAAAGGGGAGCCATGAAGGTCAAGAGTACTGCCATAACTTGCCGCACCTAGCAACCCCTCTCTAAACACGTTTGAGGTACCCAGAACTCTTTGGATAACCTATCGGCCCAAGAGTCAGAACTTTGAACAAAATATGAGGAAAAGGCAGTCTGGTTACAGGGGCAAAAAATTCTCTGCATGTTGCTAGCACTGTGAAAAATGCCTTAACCTGGACCCCCCATACCAGCCAACAGAAAGCTTGCTTGTCCCTCCCTTTGATTTTGCAGCACTCTAGTGCACCAGATATCTTCATTTCCAAGTGGGAAGGTTTTAACAAAATAAATATGTTCGTGAATAGTGCCATCATTATGATAGTCCTTATGATGATTAGTCTGATCTTAGTCAGTTTGAATTATACTTTCTGGCAAGTTTTCCATCTGCTGTGTTGGCTATCATGAATTTTGACAAGGGGAGCTGGAGGTTTTAATGACTCCTGTCATGTGTAGAGTCATAGCAAGTGTCAGGGATTGAGAAGCATGTTAATGTGATATCTTAATAAAAGGACTGGTGGAGAAATAAATAGTTAATAAATGTGATCGTTCCAGCTCACTGAAATAAGAACTACAAAGTGCACCTCAAACTTTTCAGGCTGCTAACAGTAAAAAAGCAGTGCATGAGCTCTGTTACGCTCAAAACTATTTTTGAGGTTATTTTTTAATTGCAAAGCCTACAACCTTCCTTTTTAAAACATGTTTTTATTGGAAACTCAGTTTTACAACAATTTGTGAATTTTACAACCAAGCGCAGTGGAGCAGAGGACCTGGAATACCTGGGTCTTGCAAAGAAATTCCTTGTCTGAACTACTTTAGTTGCTTTTAGCAGGTTGAAAAGTAATTGTCCAAGAAAGACAAGGAACAATCTAAAAGAATAATAAAAAAAAAATTATATGTGGTTCTTTCCATGTGTGTTAGTTCAAATTGGAGGTTTAACTAAGAATCCCAGATGCATGCGTAAATGGTGCACTACGTTTGGCTTTTAAGCATGCAGGAAATTGATTCTGAAGATTAGCAAGCAGATCAAGTGGGGGAAATTTCATTCTTCAAGGTTAACGCAACATATAACCTCATGAGCTGGAATCATGTAAGGACCATCCATTGTTCATAAACGTATCCTGTAGTAATCATTGTATATTCACCGAAAAACGTAAATGTTTTATTACTTACACAAATGCTACAATTGGCCCATGGTACACATGGAACTTACTAAAGGAAATACACCATGCTTTTTTTTTTGGTGGTTATCTTTGAAGAGCTAGATCCTTTAGACAAAATAAATCAGGATTCCTCTACTTAAAAAAACACTGAGGATCTTTATCACTCTCTGATTAAAGAGAATCATGAAAGAAATATTTGAAAAGGTGGCTTCAGCCAGTCCTGTCCTTCTAGTAGGAAAAGATTAGGAAGAAGGAGGTTTAAAATTAATAAAAACAAAACAAAGGCACGCCTCGTGTTGGCTACCATAAACATGTAGGTACTAAAACTCCTGTACTGCTGTACAGAGCCTTTGTTTGTGGCTGCAGATCAAGCAATAAGCGTTAGTTGGAAGCCTGAGATCTATCATGTCTTGTTAACTGACATGGAAATGATTACCTGATGGTATCCACTGCAGGATATTGCCGCATGGTAATAGTTATCTATGCTGGCTAATGTAATTAAAACCAAGAGCAGCAACCCCCAGTATACCTACTGCACTGTCAGAGCTGATGCACGTTTTACAGTTGAGACTTCTAAAAGGTTCTGGGAAATTGGAAGAGCGAAGTACTCAGTTCATAAATGACAATTAGTCATACAGAGCACCCTAATGGAAATCTTGCATGCGGAGGTCTCCGAGGAGGCAAATTTGTAGGTAATCTTACATAACTTTTCCTTTTGTAGGCTGTCAGTGTCTTTGATGAGTATACAAGAGCCAAGTGTTTTAAGAATGTTTTTGACAACAGCTGTGCTGTGTACTTAAGCTTTCCTGGTGCTTTAAATTGAGCATTATTGATGCTATAGATCAGGAAATTGAGTTCTGACCTTGTAGTAGCTAAATTGCTGTCCAGAGCTGCTTAGCCATCTGATTTTTAACAGCAAGAATAATGTAATAAAAAAGCGCCTGTCTTCTCTGCCTCTCAGCCCCACACCTGTACTGAAAAATAGTTTCCAGGGATTGTGTGGCCCTGTGCCAGCATCATCAGCCAGGAAGACAAATGAAATTATTACAGACTCTGTCTTTAAATCTATAATGCAGTTAAAAGCGGTTCCCATCAGGACACTGAAAAGGGAGCAGATTTCTCCACTTGCTTGATAAAATATAAATCCCAGGTATTTGTTCTGCTTCATGCCCCAGTCTCTTTAAAAACTTGAAAAAATAAAACAAAAAAAATTTCTGGACAAGTACATGCCCTTTGCTTTTGTAACTTTGTGAGGACACAGACCAGTACTCTGGTCTAAGCAAAGGTTTTTACTCACTTGTTCTGGAACAGCAGCTAATAACGCTGCATTGGAAACATGACTGCAGTGAAGTCAATGCACAAATGCATGAACCTCAAAGTGAAGACCCAGCCCCACAGTTGAAGGTTGTACAAGCCCATGGGGTGATTTCACTATGCCCGTAGGTAGTTAGACTATGCTGAAGTCTGCACAGCTGCGTCTGTTAGTGAAGCCTTGTGAGTAAGGTACATAAAATGAGAGAAAAGGCAGTGTCGTAGTTGCACGAAGCATCCCAGTGGTTTTAGGTGGAACAGTTTGTGTCTGCTTCTCGACCTGGGGTAAAACCCTAGGTCTGCCATAGCTGCTGGGAGTTTGGTCCCTGGCAACGGAGAACTTGCTCCTGATATCCTGAGGCTTTATGCTACGGAGAGACGCACTTGCCACCGGTGCAGCCCAGAGCCTTGCGTGTTTAGTAGGAGTGCAGACTGGGAGCTTGCCTGGGAAGCCCACGGAGCTGTCAGATGTTCCCTCATGTGGATGCTTGGGTGGGCGAATTAAAGCCTTAACGAGAAACCGCATTGCCTTCTGAGGGCTAAATTCCTTCCTTGTGTAAGTTGATGAGATGGCGCTGGCTGCGGTGCCAAGGGAAAACTTTGCCCGTGCATCTGCTGGAGCGCTGGGGGTGAGCAGGGTGTTGCTTCTGGTGTTGGCCAGCACTCTTTGAGTAGGTCACTAGCTCACCCTTTTCAAAATGGAAACATCCCAAATCCGTGCATATCCCGTACTGTTAAAATTTGACACAGCTAATGATGGCATTGCATCATTCTTTGAGCTGAGTCCCGTTGTTACAGAAGTAATGGGCACGATCTCTGGTGCCCTCCTCCCTTTGCCTGCCTTTTGTTTAAATTCAGTGCAAGTACTGACTATCCTTTCTTCTGTACCTCGTGGAGATATAATCCAGTGACAGCTACGAGGCACTTTGTGTAGTGAACATGAAATAGGAGGGAAATGAAAAAATCAAAGAGGGAGAATTATTCATGGGAAATTGAGCACAGCTTCATTTCTCTGCATAAAAAATTAAGTAATGCTAAAAGAATTATACACTTGCCCATAGGATTGATTTCTTCTGAGCCCTTCAGCTTTCTGGAGATCTGAGTCCTCCAGCAGAGAACCTTTTTGCAATAGACTATTATTGTTGTTAATATTATTATTAAGACAGTTATCACCATTTTATATCTCAATGCGAGTATGACTCTTTCCTCTCCAACTGTAAAATGTGAAGTCACACAGTATCTCTGAGTACTGCAGTATCTTCTCTCCCTTTGAAGAACTTTGTCAGTTCTGCATGCTTTCCTCCTGTTTGTCCTTCCTACCTGCAGCTCTGTGCTATTCTGCAATCTTATTTTGAGGTGGTAGGGCAGAGCAGTGGAACCTTATATTATGTAGGAAAAACATTTTTCCCCTTCGAATTGCCAGTATTTTGCACATACCGCCTTCTTCCAATCTCAGGACTGAGAAGTTTCAGTTTGTTTCCAAACTGAGACCCCTCGTTGGCAACGTGTTGTAATGCATGGAATTTATTTTACTGACCTGACCTTATTCTTGACCTTTTTTCCCCTCTTGTCTTCTGCAAAAGCAAATGATGCATGAATTGAAATCCCCTTAAGCCTGAACAGGGGAGGTAATTCTAAAATCAAGGAAGGAATTGGAACAGCAGAGCATATCTAGAACGTCTGATACAATGCCTTTTTTATTTTTCAGTCAGTTTGCTCCCAGGAAAACCTTTTTGTGGAAAACAGGTAAAAAATAGCTTTTTTTTTTTGTGTTAACCTCAGCTGTTTCTTTTATTATTTTGTCTATCTATAGTTGTTTATCCTTATGCAAAGACTGTTGAGCAAATTTGTAATCCATATTATCTGCAGTGGTTTTGTGCTTTAAGAGGGGGGAAAAGAGATTGCCTTGCAGTATTGTATCTCAGCAGATAAGGTGTTACTGCTGCTTTCCCGAGACTTTGCATTTCAGGTTAAAAAGCAGATTGTGAGAGGGAGGGGGAGCCCAGCTGAGGTGTCATTTCAAATGACCAGTCTGTCTCTGGAATGCCTTTAGAATTTAACTTGGTGATCTTTAAAAAGCATTTATGAAACACCACACTCCGTTTCTGTTCTTTAAGTTGCTCTCCGGTGGGGCACTGACTTCACTTCTTGCTTGTGAAGGCTCACAAGTCCCCCAGACCAGACCTGCTTTGCTGCTGCATTTTAGTAATGAAATGGTGATATCTGAGCCAACCGTTACTTTGCATTACTGTGTGATAGTTCTTATGGCTGTTCTTTTTATTATAATAAATCCACTTAAAGGGAAGAAGAAACTGTGTTTAAGATCTACAAAATATGAAGTGTTAGCTCCATAGCAGCCATAAATTAGCTTAACTGTGTTGAAAATCTTACAAATTGTGCTGCGCCTTTATGGCAGATAAGGATTTTAACCAAAACGCTGGGAATTTCACTGGTGAGTGTTTGAGCAGTGCTAGCCCAAGTCTGTCCTGTGCAGGTTTTAAAACTGTTTATCATCCCCTTGAAGAAGGTGAGGTTATCTTTCACGGTATTTCTATCTCTGTCCATCTTTACATCTGTCAGATGCATTTATGGGTGAGGCTGTCCCCATAGAAAATGACTCCACAGTAATGGTACAAACCAGCTTTTCCGATGGACAGTCCTGTAAGTGGAATGAGGGAAGGTCCTCAGGAGGTAACGGCCACTGTCATCTAACCACCTTGTATTCTGAGAGCCAAGGATATTTCTTCAGCTGCTTCTTCTGTATCATGGCTATGGAGATATGTTTTATCAAAATAAATCAAAATTGCAAAAAGCAGATGCTCCCATAAACCTACTTTTCCCTCTCTGGAAAGATTGGGACAATAAACGTGATGTAGTTGTTCACATTCCCAAGTCAGTATGGAAAGCGGTCAGATGCTTCAGGGTAGGGTGGGCACCTTTACGGGATAAACCACGAGCTTCATGGCCAGGCCTCCAGTGGTTTATGCATTCAATCCCACACCTGCGTGCAGGAGAACGTGGCCGGTTCTGGTGTTTGCACATGGTTTGCTTTGCTTGAACCCATGAGCTGGCTGACCAGCTTTCCTGGTGTAAGGATGCGTACCCAAATGGAGACCAGTAAAAGGCCAAGTGGGAAACTGGGCTTCTGCTACTGCCTGCACTGTTGTCAGGAGGGAGACTTCACCTGCATTCCTCAGAACACTGCTTTTTCTGGCTGCATGCCTTACAGCCTTTGATGAGGTGGGGCACTTAAACTCGTACTTAACCCCATGCACACGAGCAGTCTTGTTGATTTGCTGTGTTGAAAGTTAGGTATGTGTTTAAGTGCTTTACCTTCCTTTTTCATCAGAGAATCCGAGCATTTCTCTGAGCTGCAGAGAGTTCCAAGCAACTTAGCAAGTGCTTAAAATTATATATGCAGTATTTTGCTGGCTTGCATTTTTTTATGTTCTTATTAGACGATATTTTTATGAATTTTCTTTTGGATGTAAATGTATGGTTCCTTGGCTTCTGAGAATTACCTTGCTCGATAACAGGAAATGTTAAATGGCCTTCGGCCTCCCTGGCTGACATTTCTTACATTCAGTTGACTGTGCACAGTTATGAGAGAGGGAGGGGGGGCGAGTTTAGCCTTGTTTTTTTAAACCATGAATCTAGCGCAAGTTGGAAGATGTCACTAGAAATCAAATATAGCTTTACAGATCGAGTGAATTTGAATTACCATGTCTGTTACCGTAATCTTTCTTTTCATTTTTCAGTAGGCTGTTGGAAGACAGTAGTATATGCAGTGATACCCATAAGAAAAGACAGCTGTTTAGGTTTGTATGACTTTCTTTAATATTCATTTCCCAGTAACTCTCACTTGTGATTCTATCTGTGTCTTCGCTGAGGGCGACCTTGATGGGTGTGGGTATGTTATTTTTCTGGTTGGAAAGGAGCATGGAGAACAGAGTTCTTGCCCTGCTCATCCCACGCTCTTTGAATGGGGCGATCACAACGGGATGCTTTCCTTTGGTTTTATGGATCATTGGCTCAGGAACCATATGAGATTTTCAGCTGCCCAGCTGCTCAGACTGCCACAGTTTGCGGGTGACTGTGACCGGTGCGAGTTCATTTTGCTCTAGTATGTATGACAGGCACGTTTCATATAGTGCCCGGGACTGACCTGTTTTCCTTTTGTTGGTTTATTAAAAGCTGAAGTAGAAGTACGGTGAGGTGAAACTGATGGAAGTTCCCTTATCTAAAGCAGCAACATTTTGAAACAACTTCTCTGTGAACTTTGTCTCCCAAACTCCAGTTCCTTCTGCCTAGAGAACATTCAGGTGTATCCCGTATCCTGTCCCAAGCCACAGGGATTCGGTAGGAGCCAGTCCATGTTTTCACGGAGAACTTTTTTATCAGTTGACACACTGGATCAGTGAAGACCCAACGTGGTGGTGACAGTGTTCCTCTGAGAGGCTTAGAAAGGCTGTCTTCCCACACCGTGAGCTCCCACAGGTTCAGTTCAAATCAACCAGAGCCGAGCGTGCCAAGCTGCTTTTAAAGTCAATCAGCTGCCACAAGTCTTAAGTAGAGTGGGCAGAACTAATGGATGCTTTCAGAAGCATGTCCTTCATCCAATAAGGCACATGGACAGCTATACAGAAGTAGGGTGATCACTAGATGTCCGTATACGTTGGGATTTGCCTATGTAGCAGAGATAGTTTGTGTCACTTCAAACCTATATCACCTATATTACGTAGTTTTCTCATTCAGAGGAGAAAAGGATGCAGGATTATTTGACGTGTGGTTGCTGAGTGTGCATGCCATCACAGCAGCCACGGAGGAGATGGCGAGACTGCACCAGGTAAGGAACAGTGCTGGAGCATCTGGAGCTGCGTCCCATGGCCACAGGCAGCAGGCAGAAAAACTTTTCTCCATGCTTTGGGCTAGCTTTGGTGATCTGAGAGTCTTGCACGGGGCATGCAGGAGTAAGGAGGCATCTCACACACAGACACTCTTAATAACTAATATTTGTTCAGGTTTGGGGAACAAAAAGGAATTTTGTGTAACCCAAAACCACAGGTAACTGGGATACAAAAGCATTCTGTTTCTCTCCCTCTTTTCCACTAGAATATAAATATAAGAGAATTGTTAATTTCTAAGCACAAGAATGCAAAAGAGTCTGTAAAGAATGTACTTTGTGTTTTCTTTCCAGTTAAATCTTACGGACAATTTATTTTAAAAATCTTTTTCCTTTTTTTATGTTGTTGCTTCTGTGCTGTTTCTCTTCATGCTTTCCCACTGTCTGGGTCTAACAAAGGTCAACAGGTTAATACTGCTGATCACATCTGTGAGAGGCTCTGGTCACAGGCAAGGAACGCACCAGCCTGATCCCGGCTCTGACAAGCTGCTCCTTCGCGTCCCGAGTGACACAGCTTGACAGGTTCTCCAAATAAAAAGCAGGAGCCATGTTCACAAGGAGAAAGAGGACCAAAAAAAAAATAAAAAAATAAAAAAAATAAATACAGTCCCATCCTTTTGATTTGTAGAAAGAGCTTTGAGCCTGCAAGGTATTATACTGCAAAATAAGACAGAAGGGTGGAAAATGTCTTCTAAAAACCTTCCAAAAGCCAGTGTTACTAGCATCACTTGGGATAACAGTCGTGGTGTGCTAAGCTGTGGTAGGCATGCTGGTTTTGTCATCTTAGCAGCACACTGTAAGTGGTTCACCATAAAAAGCCAAATTCTCCTCCACATTCTGCTCACAGTTTACTGTGGTGTTATTCACAGTACCCTGGGTGCTCTGCAGCTGTTCAGGGACAGACAGTCTCTACCCAGAGGTTTTTGCAATTGCTGTGTGCAGAGGGGGAAAAGACCAACCCAACTGGTGGGTCTCCAAGTGGAGCGTTAGCACTGAAGCGTTTGGGGTCACACTGGGAGGACACATGTTTAGGGGAAAGCTTTGGATGACTTTATAGAGCAGATGATGAGTGGGGACAAGGTACAATGGAAAGGAGGAGGATGGGACATGAAGACAAAGGTAGAGAGGGCAGGTGAAGTTAGTGAGAAAAACATTACAGGTGATGGACCGAAAAGGGAGAAGTAGTCAGGGGTTTGCTGAGGGAAGAGACTGGTCAACAGCCAACAGAATGCTACATTGGCGCTGCGTAACGTTGCTACGTCAGCCCCGTCCGGTGAAGTGCTCTTAGGATATATGCGAGAGGGGAGCGGTGGTAAGTGCTGTGCATGTAAAAGGATATAGCAGTGTTTACTTGCTGAAGGCAGATGAGTAAGGGTGTCAAAGCCTCTGTTTCAGGCATGCTTTCGTAAATGCAGAGTGTTTCCTTTTTCTTTACTAGGCTCGCTGCAGGGTACCCAAAGGTAGAATCTGCCCTCACATGGCTTTGTTTCCTGATGTCCGTAGGGGTAACAGAGACAGCATGGGGAAGGCATCTGGCAGTCGGCAGAGCAGTACGGAGAACGAATTGAAGTGGGCAGACCACCAGAGGCCATGGAGCAGCACAGACTCGGACAGCTCAAACCGAAATTTGAAGCCATCCATAACAAAGACAGCCAGTTTTGGTGGGATAACCGTCCTGACAAGAGGAGATAGCTCGTCAAGTAACAGAAGTACCGGCAAACTGTCTAAAACAGGTAGCTAGTACTGTATTGGGTTCACAGTACTTCTTGTTGTGTGGTGATAAATGACTGTACTGGTACTTGCCTGAGTATGGTATATCACAGAATGGTTTGGGTTGGAAGAGACCTTCAGAGATCATCTAGTCCAGCCATGTAGGTTGGTGAATTACATGCACAGTTGTGTTTCCTGTGCATAGCAGATGTGTTTGTCCATCTACATGCACTACTATTTGGGTACCTGGTGTTGAGTTTTTAGGAATCAAGAAGAAAATCTGATGCCTGAGGTTTGCAAATGGTAGGTGAGGTGGGCTTTTCCTGCAGTGGAGTATGTGCACATCCTATTTCAACACTGTCTGCACCTCTTGGAGCCTGAAGGTGATACTCCTTTCAGACAAAGCACAGATTTTACCTTTTTATTAATCTCTTTGAATTGTGAAGAATTAAATGTCATATATCCGATGAGAAATCCAAGAACATTTTGTTGTCGTTGCTAAAATGCCGACCATCTGTATCTTGGAGTACAGCCTCTCCCTTGCTGCTGGCAGATGAGGCAGTGTGCTGTGGTGGAAGCAAGCAGAAGTGCTGGAATTCACAGAGCTCCCACAATCTCTCCATTTTCTTGTTTAGTTCCCAGTAAATGAAAGCACCCTTTAAGGACATTATGAACCTGGTGGGAATTCTGCATTTATTTGCGTTAACTTCATGGGTACATTAACATATGAGTGAGTCACAGGGTCTGGATCTAAGTAATTTCAAGCTGTACCATTAAGCTATGCTATTAGATTTTTGTGTAAAAGTGCATAATAAATAATGGGCCCATCAGATAATTCCATCAGTTTGGTTCACTTGATAAATATAGTACAGGACAAGTGGTAATCAATACTTAGCACTTAGTGCTCTTTCAGCTTGAGAGTGTTTTATGGACGGTACTTAATTTAAACCCAGGTTATCAAACCTGGATTGGCCAGATTTCACTCCTGTTCCCACAACTGTACGGTAGCCTTTGCCATGATTCAGGATGCTGGGGAATGGAGTTTTCAGAATAAACCAAGAAAACCTTTGACTTGGTAACTACATTCTGGACCTCCGGATTTGAACATAGTTTAAAATTTTATAGCATGCTAGAATCATAGAATGGTTTAGGTTGGAAAAGACCTTTAAGATCACCGAGTCCAACTGTTAACCTAGCACTGCCAAGCCCACCGCTAAACCATGTCCCTAAGCACCACATCTCCACCTCTTTGAAATACCTCCAGCGATGGGGACTCCACCACTTCCCTGTGTCAACGCTTGACAGCCCTTGCGGGGAAGAAATTCTTCCTGATATCCAATCTAAACCTCCCCTGGCGCAGCTTGAGGCCATTTCCTCTTGTCCTGTATCTTGTTACTTAGGAGAAGAGACCGACCACCACCTGGTTACACCCTCCTTTCAGGTCGTTGTAGGGAGCGATCAGGTCTCCCCTCAGCCCCCTCTTCTCCAGACCAAACCCCCCCAGCTCCCTCAGCCGCTCCCCACCAGACTTGTGCTCCAGACCCTTCACCACCTTCGTTGCCCTTCTCTGGACTTGCTCCAGCATCTCAAGGTCTTTCTTGAAGTGAGGGGCCCTGAACTGGACACAGGATTTGAGGTGTGGCCTCACCAGTGCCGAGTACAGGGGGACGATCGCTGCCCTGGTCCTGCTGCTCCCCCTGGGGTTCCACCGGCTCGGGAAACCCCCCTGTGCCTTTGTCATACTTCACGCTGTCAAGGCACCCGCCTGGTTGGGAAGCCGCTCTGTCAAACCCTGCTAGTCATAAAGCTGCTGGGAGCTTTTGGAATATCCTGCCTCTTTTTCTTAATGCTTCTATTTTATATTTCTTTTGAGACCCTAGACAAATATTGGGTTTATTATCTTAAGATTCATAGAATTGTAGAATATCTCAAGTTGAAAGGGACCCGTAAGGATCTCTTCATAAGATCAGATTCTCATTCAGTTTTACTCCGTCCTTATGTGTGTGAAATCCTATGGAATTAAGACGTGAATTTGACTTTGAAAATTAGTGCAGTATAGTTGTTTACCTCTGACTTCTTCCTGGCCGTAAGCATACGCAACATAGCAAAAACTAGTGTGTATGTGGTGTTGAAACTACACTCTCCTGTATTCTTTCTTTGTGTAAAGGCTGAATAGGCTGTACAGTGGGGCCTGAACTATGCAGTAGGCTGGTTTTAACTCCATATTTCTTTGCCTCCTGCAAACCTTTCCATTGCAGCAGAATTCAATTTGATATGCATGAGTTAGGGAGGAGGCACAGGTTCCTGATATACTTTTTTCATATCATTCACCTTCAGCAGAGTGCAGGTAAATGGATTTCTCTGCAAAGTGGTATTGCAGAGGTGCACAGCATTTCAAATGGTGTCAAGGAAATCCAGTTTGGAGGGTTGAGACATCTAATTGCAAGAGAGTAATACTTTTAAGTAGCCGTTTTAGTGTTAAAATCAAACATATTAAAGAGTGCACTTAGAAAATGTATTAAAGGAGAAATCTCTGAAGCACGCCAATAGTTGTAAATGCATCTGCACTCCGTATGCACCAAAGCCAAAATAGCTTTCAAATGAAAGCTCTTATAATACATTTTTAAAACATCAGTGATATTAAAATTACATGTTCTTTGCAGAGCAATTGCGTATTGTAAGTGCTTTGACTGTTTTTAAGTGAAGTGTTTAAATTTGAAAGCTAGTTGAGGCACAGAAAGAATTTAAAAAAAAAATAAAATAAAAGGAAGAAGTGGGGAAAAAGAGCAAGGCTGGATGTCGAAACAAACGTACACCTTCAGAGCCAGGACACAAAGTGAAACTATCAGTCAGCCTGAGGAAAGTCATAGGAAATAATATCTGAATTGCTATTTCTCTCCTTCTCTGTAAAATGTTGTTGAATGGCATTAAAGCAGAAGAGAATGACAGTTCAAAAAATAATGGGGAAATATGTCTTGATAAGGTGTTCTGCCTTCACCAAAAGCTGCTGAGTGCATTCGTACAGCTGTCAGAGCCCCCACGTGCCATTTGCCTATGTTTCCTACGGTACGTTAGGTACCAAGCGACACTGTGCGTGTTTTGCATTAGGTCTTCATTACTCTGTACTGCGGCCATAGGCAGTGCTGGGTGTTCTGTAGCTCAGTACACATTTAAAGCTTGATCATGTTTTTCTTTTGGGGGATTTTGTTTATTTTCTGTTGTCTTTACTACAGTGATTGGAATGAGATTGAAGAGGTGTAGCTCAAAACATTAGGCACGCTGCCCTGGTAGTGTGGCAGAGCCTGACAGGCACCAATTCTGTCCCAGTTCTCCTCTGCAGAAAGTACTGGTCTCTTCTCTGAAGTGCTTTATGGTTCACGGTAATAAATTTAAAACGTTTTTGTCTTGCATATAGTATGTATGAAATTAGTCTGAAGTCATTAGTTGGTCAAAATGTTCTTCATTGGCTAAATGGTGGAAAACATTTGTAACCATCTTAAATGTGAAAATTATTCTAGATTTATGATGGTCATCCAGAAGCATTGTCAAACACCCTCCTTGAGCATCGGAGTGTTAAAACTTTCAAGATTTTCACAGATGGCTCACAGCTGCCTTTGAGGATATATATGGTGATGCAATATTAGCATTGTAGCCTTTCTGGATCATTTTTAATATTGTCACCAAAATTAAATGTTCTGCCCTTAACCTTAACTTCTGATAAACCAGTAATTAATGGTACATAGCAGGCAAACAGAAACTGAAGCACGGAAAGATGTTAGCCTCCCCTTGGGCAAAGACAGTTCACAGAATGTGCTGTTCAGAGTCCAGTAGAGTCAATTAGTCTTAGACTTTAATTGCATTCAGCTGCATGGGAATTAGAGCTTAGCAAAGGAATTAAGTTACTTTATTCTTGCAACTTTCACAAAAGGGGCTGTTTGAAACCAGTTGAATGGTTATCTTACTGGTTCTGATGGTTATTTTCATGCACCTGTTGATTGCTTAGAAAGCCCTGTTCCGCTCCAAAGCGCAGATGGTATAATGCAAATAACATTTTTTTCTCTGTTGTTTTGAAACTTAGTAGATATATAGAGATGTATTAAGCTATAATTCAGTATTGAGTAGGGAGTTAATAATTTAACAAATTGCAATCAGATTGCATCCTTACAACTGAGAACATCATACAAAACATTGGTTAGTTTAGATTTCCAGTAATATAGTGGACTTCCCAGGGTAGACTAAGCATGTAGAGTGGGAAATGAAATAGATGTCCCTGTAGGCATCAAAGATGTACCTGTTCAGTCTCTAACACACCCATGAAGAGAAGATCTAGCTCATCAGCTACCATGTTACTTTTGCTGACACATTACAACAGGTTTTAATGTACATTATTAGGAGGGAAGACAAGATGTGTTTCAAAGGAATGTCCTCTGTGTATCTACATATCTATTGAAATAATTTTTGGAAGACTGAAAAGATGTAACTATTGCATCTTTAGCTTCTCTTAATGCATTTTCCATTCAGTGGAACGCACATCTGTTGGAATGTATTTCTTTCCCCCCCATTTACGAAAAACTGGCTGCATTGGGGTATCAGCTGTGTTGATACAGATCTGTAAGGATCGTTAACTTCCTTGGCGGGGCTCCAAGTAATCGGAGCCACAGTCTAATCTGTCCTGTTAGGTGTTCATTGCTAATCCTGTTGGGGAAAGATGATTATACTGCAGGCGTTTCAATACATTAACTTTTTTTTTCTTTTATAGAGTGTTCTGTAAATTATAATTTTGTCTCTGAGTTTTCGACCTGGATTTCTGCTTCTTTATGATTTCTTTTAATTGGGCATTAGCCTAATGGATCTTGTGAGTCCAAGAGAAACTGTAGGAATGTTGATGTATGGGCCATAAATCACAAGCCAACTGCTTCTAGTCATACTCTCCCCACCAACCGACTGTGCTGAAACATCAGTCTTATTTTTAGAAGTGCAGCTTTCAGAGAAGGACTCGTATGAGCACATACCGTTATCATCAAAATACCTTAATGCATTGTAATATACAGAAATGGAAGTGACTTACAAAAGTAACATATTCCTAAACCAAGAAACTGCATCCAAGATAAAAGTACTTCCAGAGGTAATCAGTGCTCTGCTGTTCCTGAAAAACTGACCATCTGGAGCAAGTAGTGGGTAGATCTTGAGAGTGCAGTTGATAAGAAAAATTTACCTCGGGCTTGGAAGGTGGGATGAACAGAGATGCTCAAAGTCATCAGATACTGAATGCTGGCCCAAAGAAAATAGAGCACGACATGGTGCATCTCTCACTAGTGCTCAGAATATTGGAAAAGTAAAGGTACCTCCATGCTCTCCCTCTGCAAACCCTCTGAGCTATTAAGAGTTTGTGGTGATTTTTCTGTCTCGTTTTCTTTTACCAGCCTTTGAACTGCTGTATCTCTCAGAATGCTTTAAAAATATATTAATGGAAAGTGATGAGAATATGAAGGTTATTATTATGTCAACTGTGAAGCAGCAAGAAAATTAGGGAAGCATCTAGAAGAAGTAGCCATCGTTACATGCTGAGAAAAAGAGGTTGGATTGTGTAATGGGGGCAAAAATCTCATTAGTCAAAGTTCCTTTCAGAAGTCTTTAACAAGACATCTCTTAATGTGAATCTGAATAAAGTCAGATAGTTCATTTTTTTTTCATTTGCGACAGTACTGAATTCATTACGTGGTGATTTCTTATTCCAAATTAAGACACCATGAAAACAGCTAATCAGAGCTACAAAGACAAGATTAATTGGTGTTAATTTCCAAACATTAGTGCTGGAATTTACTGGGCCTACTATGTCTAGACTTGAAATGATAGGAAATAAGTTGCAGTCATGGAAAAAAATTTAAATAGATCATTCTTATACAGGATAAATGGGGGCAAAATTGGTTAAGTAGTAATTTCTGGGACTTTTTTTTTATAATATTCAGAATATTGCTGAAATGGTTTTGTATCTTATTTGTGTCCTTTTGACCCAACTTGATCTACTGACATAGGACAGCAGATCTCGGATCTTTTAAGGCGGACATTTCAAAGCTATCATCTTGGCCAATGTCAGGTAATAGCTCCAGAGGTTTTTCCACTGCTTCTGCCTACCGTTTGATGAGTAGATCTGAATTCATTGCAGTCCTTTGGCTTTTAACGTTCAGAAGCTGGTAAAGATCAATCTGTGATTCTGCCATAAAAACACCCGAAAGGGGCAAAAGAAAAAGACAATTCAATGTCAGAGCTGCAGTCTTTTACATTAATGGCATTTCTTCAGAATAGCACAAAACGGGGAGAGAATGAGCCTGAACACAGGCTTGATACTACTAACACATTTAGAAATAATGGGAGGTTTATGAAATCTTATCCCCACTCCTCCATCTCCAGGTAGCTTTCTAACCTGTTGAATTCAATAGGTGATGGAAAAGAAGAGAAAGTAAAGTGAGAACTCAAAGAAGCAACGTGAAGCACCTATAGAAGGGCCAGGGAAATGCAGGAAAGGACCTGGTAACTGCTGTAGAAGGAAAAATAAACTTCAGTGGGTGCATTTACGTTTGTGAGGAAGATGCCAAATACTGCTTGCAGCTTGATGAGGATGACCTCCAGGAATGTCTCTGCAGTTTGTAGAAACACTGAAATCTGAAATGATCCAGTAAATAAAACGCTTCCTGCAGGAATAATCTTTCTAAATTTCCAACCTGAGTCTACAAGGAGGGGAAAAACTGTAGCAACTAACACAACCTCGATGTGTATTTATAGAAATTAAAAATTTCTTCTGAAATCTCTGTTTGTTTCTTGATTAGATACTGGAGAAGCAGATTTAGGGTCCTGCTGATGGCAAATGGTGCAACAGCTCATAAGGAGGACTGTCTCTGTAGTAGCTGCTGTACCAATATGGAGTTTGAAGAAGACGGGTGAAAATGTGTTTTACACAGCGATCTGCAGTGATCTGTGGAAAGGCCCTCTGTTAAGTAACAGGATGGTGGTGTGATTTCTTCAGAGGAAACCTCTTTTGCTCTAATTATGAGGAAATAAATTAATTCCAATATGGATTTGCTGAAAATGAATCCGAGGCTCTAAGCAGTCTACTGCAGGGTCCTCCTGTAGTATCCCAAATATGAAGGGATGTAATTTGCCCTCTGACAAAGAAGTTTGCTAAAACCTGAGTTCTGTCTTTTCTTTTAGCCTATACCTGTAGGAGGGCACTAAGGAGGTTAGTAAGTAAGGTAAAATGCATAGTCAATGCACAGAAGTACAATAAAAGAGTTACATGTACTTTACCTTTTGGAGGAAGCATCTGTACAGATGTTTGCTTTCACACCTCCCTTGTGTTTGCCTTAACGCTTTAAGGAAGCAGTTCATCTGAGCCTTACGCTCTCAGGGATTCTTGTCATTTGTGTGTGAAGCAAATTGAAATCTAGTCAAGCAAAATCTCAGAAGTTTGGAAATTGCATTTGGTTTTTAAAGTAGCGCGTCTCCCCGTCCTTCTAGGTAAAAATGTATTTTAGCACATTTGATTTATCTTGATCAATTTTAATAGGCTAGGTGCTGAAAAACCAAAAGTGGCAAAAGTCTTAGGTAGTGTCTTAGGTAGCTTTAAGTTAATATACATATGGCATAGCTGCCTTGTTACTTGACTGACAACTCAGTTACTGCGTTGTTTCTTTTTTTTTTTTTCTACAGAAAATGTTTGGTGGGTTTTTTTGTGTTGTGGGTTGGTTTTTTTCTTTTTCATTTACAAATCCTGTGTTTACTTTTTATACTTTATGAACCAATACTTTGGCATTATAAATACATGCTGAGCATTTTGAGTTCTGTTTGATAAAGCTATTTACCGACTGGGAGGAAAGCCAGTAAATTGAATTTTTGAATTGTAGAAATACCACTGGATACTGAGCTCAGCAGGGAGTGAAAACCCCACTCCTGCCAGCTGGGCATGGGCTAGTGCTTGCCTTTGCAGTCTGTGAAGGCTGCCCTCGCGTATGCACCGTGTCTGGCGGGGACTGGGGTCCCTTGTACCCCCCGCCTGCCGTTGTGTCTCTCCGTTAGGCTCAGAGTCTTCCAGCAGCGCTGGCTCCTCAGGATCACTGTCACGAATACATCAGCCTCTCCAAAGCGCATCTCTTGTCCCCGGGGTGACGGCCAGCTCTTCGGGCAGCGTGTCCTACCCTGAGAACGGGATGAGTGGCCAGGTGGCCCCCAGCAACACCAGCTATATCATTCTTCCGCTTGAAGCTGCAGGGATACCCCCTGGCAGTATCCTTCTCAACCCGCACACAGGTCAGTACGATGCTCTCCTGCCTGGCGCTGCCCTTTGCTGTTTCCGATGTCATCTGGGGAATCGGCAAATTTCTTGTTTCTAGAGATATTTTCCTCGAGGGGCTTCATGAGGAAGCAAGTAGCAAATATGCAGAGAAATGACATTTGGCAGGTTGTTTTTTCAAATCTGCAGGCAAAGCTGGATTGGCTTTCTGAGGCTGTTGTGGCATAGCCAGTGGGAGGTGATACAACACACACTCGTGTGGTCCCAGACAGAATATTCATCTTGTAAAGTCCTCGCACTCATTGGCTGTGAATCCTCTGAGATCGCATTAGCCTCAGTAAGGACCGATACTCTTCCATTCGAGCACGCTGAGATACAGGGCAACCAAAAGACGATGTCGAAGTCTAGAGATGGTGCTTAACAGCAGAATTTCAAAAGGCTTAAAGGCTGCATTTGAATTAGCGCTTCAGAGTTAATTTTGTTATGTGAGAGATATGATTAGCAGTGGTATCTAAATCAGAAGTTCTGTGTTAAGAGAAAGTTGAAATCTCTTCAATTCCTGGTAGTTGGCAGCACCGCAGCACACAAGCGAGGCACCCGCAGTCACCCAAGCGCTGCGGATGCTTCAGAAACCGCTCAACTTGAACTTGAGTGCTTGCTGAAAGTTTGAGGCAATATGTTACCTCCTCGGTCCAGATTGTGTTACGCTATTACTCCCCGCAGGATTGTACTGACAGTGTTAAAAAGTTTGACTGTGATGCTTCTTCAGTGATTTGGACTATTTCAGTGACCATGACTAGCTGTGCTGTCAACCTTAGCTGAGTTATGCTAGGTTTAAAATAACAATACAGTGAAATGTATTTTCCGTTATACTGGGAGCTGAGAGTTGAACTCCAAAATATTTTTTTAAAGTCCTTAATAGAGCTTTTTATTTGGGAATTTTTGTTTATAACCAGTATTTATGTATATCACGCCCCCGCTGTGTTCTAGCATTTTGGTGCAAATACGTAAAGCTTATTTGTGAGGCCACTGCTGAAAATACTTTTTTTGGGGTGTGTCAGCATTCAGTCAAGAAAAACTGAAAGTTGTGGCATTTAAGAAAAGCACAGCCTTGACAAACTGTTGAACCAAGCTTTCCACAGATATTTAGAGACAGTGGTATCTGGGGCTGATCAATATATATCAGCATATATAAAATCAGGGAGGAGTTCTTGTTTGTTTAGATTCGAATGAATGTGGTAAGTTCTTTCCAGAAAAGTGACTTAGTAACTTGCACAAACTTGTACTTTTCCAAAGCCTTTATTATTTATGTGTACTTTTTTCAAGCTGTTACATTATTGACATGAGAGCCTAACACTATCAGCATAAATGGAGATTTTGGATATTTCTTAAAAACTCGGTTAGGGGAGAGGACAGAATGGGAAGTGGGCACAAGACAAAACCCATCATTATTAATTTACTCATTTCTGTTGTTCTGCTAGTTCTGTCTGTAACTCTGGAATTTCTTGGTCGATACAGAAGGCATTTTGTGTGCTATGTGGTCCGCTTCCGTGCAGAAGTCATCCATAGTTCAGGTGATAGGACTGAGAGAAACAAACAAAAGGAGTCACTGGTGCTTTGAGCCCACAAACAGCTGAGCGGTTGTGCTCGTTCCTGGCCATGGCAAGGAAGGAGGCTGGAGCTCACCACACCCGCAACCAGAAGAGCTGTTCAAGAGGAACATCTCCTACCACTGTTTCGTCAATTTAGCAATTTGCAGCAGTTAGCTCGTATTTTTCCCTGGTACCTAGGGAGTCTTTTTCTGCTATAGGTATAATGCCTTTCAGTGCTGTCACTAGCCCAGAGCACCTCCTCTTCCCTCCTGGCATGCCTCGTTGTCTGCAGAGGCATCATCGAGAGCTCCATGTGTGTTGGTATGTTTAACATTCAGGGAGAAGGTGTTTTTGTGTATATATAATTTTGTGTTTCTTTCAGTATGCCGTGTTTTGTTTCTGTGTCTGCCTTGTAAATCCATACATAATAAAGACTGAAACTCTTGTCTCAGATGTATAGCTTCACACTGCTACCTGTGCTGGAAGTCAGGCTATACTGCAGCGTCTGCTGTGGTTTTAACATGCAGCAAAATACCTGCTGCAAATTTGCCACTCTTTAGGCTCAGAATCTTTGCATCTTATTAGGGTAACGTTACAAAAGAAGCTCCGTAGGGAGGACACTTAGACTGCTGGATGCAGTGATTGACTATCAAAATGATGGATGCTGTCAGAAACATAGATGAAGAGAAGTCATTTTAAGAAAAGGAAAAAGGAGCTTTGTTTCTTGTGATGAATAGATTCTTACATTCTTTAGTTCTTTCTTCTTCTCTTGCAGAGCGGCTACTTCCAATCTTTTTCTCTCTTTTGATCATAACATCGTGTCCTTTAAAGATCTTTGCATCCTTTCACACAACATAGTCACTGACTGTGCAAGCCTCTAATGGCATCCACAGATGCTGTCCGTATCTCCCTGCTCCGATTATGCCTCTCAGCTCCTTCTCAGCTGTTGGCATTCCACACTTTCTTTTCCACAGCTGCAGTTTCCTTGGTTTCCTCTCCTCTGCTTTACCCTTCTCCTTCCCCAGATAGAGAAGCTTCTTTCTTGCTTTGGGAAAGGACCATTTATGCAGCTACACTGTTTTACTCTTTAAAGGATTCCTCTTGGCACGTTCTCTGACTTAACCCCTTTGACAATTTAAGAGCATTTACATTTCATTCTTACTCCTTTAAATGACATCGCAATCCTTGCCCTTCTATCAAGGCCACAGTTCATAACTTACAAATGTCTTCCCTGTTACCATCTGATCTCTCCTTTTCATTTCTTGTTTCAAGATTTCTTCATGAAAGGTCTTTTTTTTCATCTTTAAAAGCATTGCTGGACCTTTTCTCTCTCAGTTCTGTCATCCTTTGTTGAGCCACGGGAAATGCTCTTTACGGCTTCCCTTGAGCATCTGGGGCAGGCTTCGGGAGCCTCTTGTCCCGCTCACCCAGTCTGACTTCCTCAGTTTCCTAAAGTACTTTTGGAGCCTGAGACTCCCAAATCTAGGGAGGCCACGCCATTGTCACCCACTGTGTTCACAGCAAGAAGCAGGAGATCAGCTGCTGGACAGAACTGCCCCGTGCTTCTCTTCCACTCACTCCGATCACGACCTTTCCGACTGTGAGTGTGAGACATGCCCGGTATCGTATGGTGACTTCATCCAGAAAGGCTTGATGCTTTAGAGAGAGAAGGAAGGCGAGGTTTCTTTAGCCAGTGCTCATACATTTCTGGCCTTCATTAATAAGAGGGAGGAACTGAAAGGCTGAGGAGTAGATAGAACAAGTAGAGATGCTTGTGATATACAGATCAGAAGTTTGTTGTTTTGCTGGTGCTCTCAGTCACCAAGTTCCTCCAGATCTCCCTTTTTATCTCAGATATTCATACTTTAGTTACCTACTTTAAATGTTACCACTTCATTGCTAAAATTTCTTTTTTCTCTCACAGAAACATCTGTAATTCCTTTGATTTATGAATTTATGATGGAAGTGAAAAGAGAACTGAGGTCATGGAAAACATTTTCCCTACAGAGAAATACCATTTTGTTTTTGTTTGTAAGACAGTGACTTGGGTAAACTTTTTTTGAACCAAACCTTGCTTTTGCAAGATTACTTCTCCTAGCTAAAATATTTGAAGCAAAAAGAGTTCAGCAATTTAGTAGAACTTTGGACAGAATTTGTCCTGTATATAAGAGATTTTCAAAGACATCTTAAGTGTTGCTTCCTTCATAACTCCCAGTGCTGCCTCCTTTAATTGCATAGGGCACAGCTCTCAAAAGGACAGCACTATGTTATTAGAATGTGTAAATAAATTAATAACAAGGGTGGGTTTGGATTTTTTCCTT